TTAAACTGTAATGTATTCCTGTGATGCGCAGCTGTATTTTCAGCATCATTACTCCAGTCTTCATTGTCACATGATCTTCAGAAATCAGTATAATATGCTGATTTGTTGCTTAATTATCGGTTATGATTGTGAATATTTGTTTTCTTTCCTGATATTTCTAGCAATTGATCATCTGAATCGACTGACGGCTCTAGTAGTCGCGTGTTCTCTGACCTCAGCAGAGCCGTCCATGTTAAATTTGGCCTCCTGGATCTTCATGCCCCTCTGCAGGTCACTAACGAAACACACTCGCACTAAATACAGACACACAGACAACACAGTTAGCTGTTCAAGTCAACATGAAACAGTGTTCGCAATTTTACAGACGAGTCAAGAGTAATGTAGAGCGATGCATGAGGAGGCGTGTCTATATGACTTACCTTTGATATCCTCCACGACATCCTCTGGAATAGAGCCTGTGACAAAGACCAATAGATAATCAAAGCCTGATGGATCAAATATAATACGAAACGTGTGAAGCGTCGGTCTTACTGATGACGGTGGGCAGACTGAGGCCGGTGCCAGAGTCGGTGTCTAGCGTGCATTGCTCACTCAGCAGACTGTGCAGCTCCCTACAGACGAACAAGAGCACTGAGAACACAAGCATCGTGATCTGCACACAGCCTCTCTTTTATCTGATGCTCCACACATACCTATGAACGGCTTTTCCTCCCATCGGCAGAGCTTCCCATGCAGACAGGATCGGAACGCCTTCATAGATCTAGTGCACTGTTAAAGTCATCTAAACACTTCAATACACAGATAACATTGTGTGTGAACACAACAGGTGAAGACAAACATGTTTTTCTTTAGAATAACATCACTAATCAATCATTCAGACCAGGAATAAGAATTAAACGACTATTTGTAGCACTCCATCACTGTCTCAGCAATGGATGTGAATGGGTGCCGTCAGAATGAGAGTCCAAACAGCTGATAAAAACATCACAATAATCCACAAGTAATCCACAGCACTCCAGTCCATCGGTCTTACTGATGACGGTGGGCAGACTGAGGCCGGTGCCAGAGTCGGTGTCTAGCGTGCATTGCTCACTCAGCAGACTGTGCAGCTCCCTACAGACGAACAAGAGCACTGAGAACACAAGCATCGTGATCTGCACACAGCCTCTCTTTTATCTGATGCTCCACACATACCTATGAACGGCTTTTCCTCCCATCGGCAGAGCTTCCCATGCAGACAGGATCGGAACGCCTTCATAGATCTAGTGCACTGTTAAAGTCATCTAAACACTTCAATACACAGATAACATTGTGTGTGAACACAACAGGTGAAGACAAACATGTTTTTCTTTAGAATAACATCACTAATCAATCATTCAGACTTCAGTCTCAGCAATGGATGTGAATGGGTGCCGTCAGAATGAGAGTCCAAACAGCTGATAAAAACATCACAATAATCCACAAGTAATCCACAGCACTCCAGTCCATCAGTTAACATCTGGAGAAGACAAAAGCTGAAACTAATCCAGCATTAAGACATTTTTAATGTCTAAAATACAAGTCCACAATCCATAATGAAAAAGTGCATCTCCTGTTGTCTCTCGCATCAGAATCCAGCCACATATGTGTTTAGAGCGGTTTAAACGCTGCTTGATCTGTGCAGATTTCTCTCCTGATTCACACCAGAACACTTTTTCACTGGAGGAAGAGTTATTATGGATTATTATCCAGCTAACAGGGAATGTTCTCAGAACGTTATGAACAAATGTTCTTCCAGTAACATTAACAGAACGCTCATTCGACGTTATCTAGCCTGTAATTGTGGACTTAAAATGTTATCTACACATTGTTTATGCCACCTTTTTTTACTAAAACCTTTTAATTGGACGTTCATCTAAAGTTTTCTTTTTTAAATGTTACACTTGTTTCAGAGAACATTCAAAAGTAATATTCCCATAATGTTTGGAAAATTATACAAATGGAATGCTCGCTTGACGTTTGTATAACAGAAAAAAAAAAAACTTAAAACATTTTCAAAAACTGGACATTTTGAACATTCAGCAAACATCCAGAAATAGCATTTTCATAACATAATAGGAACGTCAGCAAAAATGTTCTTAGAACATATTTTTGTTTAACTGGTATAGTTAAAACGTCTTGATGGATTTGTTTCTTCTCCAGATGTTAACTGATGGACTGGAGTGCTGTGGATTATTGTGATGTTTTTATCAGCTGTTTGGACTTTCATTCTGACGGCATCCATTCACTGCAGAGCATCCATTGCTGAGACACTGATGCAATGCTACATTTCTCCAAACCTGATGAAGAAACAAACTCATCCTGATCTCGGATGAACTGAGGGTGAGCACATTTTCATGTTTAATTGAACTATTCCTTTAAGGGCTTATTTGCTGTCAAAGGATTCTGGTAGCACCAGCGTCTCTGTATATCCACAGTCCATGACGAGAGCAGACTGGATGCCCAGAGTCATGACAGACATCAGATGACTCGGAGCAAACAGGACCGATGGGACCTGCAACAGAAAGACATGAAGAAACGTCTTGAGTAATACTTACTATACTGCAGGACTGCTTTACATTATTTACATGAGAGAATTTAGGTACCAGCTAGAAATGTGGCTCATAGTAGATCTTATTTTTGGTTTGGTGTCCAAATGAATGAAAGCATTTCTAAATATCTGTCAACTATTTTCAGTTCAAGACTCTATTATTTTCCCATTCGTATTCTGTATTTTGCTGTGGATAAGAATGATCATATAATAAAGAATGTGATCTTTTGATTTGACACAATAGAGGAGCCATTAAGATAGGAGGACGTTTTATTTTAGACACAGACGCAGCGTGACTTCACCTCAAAGTGCTTAAAGAAGACTCTGGAGAGCGTCTCTCTGAAGTGTGAAGGACAGAGGATGGATTCAACGATCACCACGCGCCGGTCTCGAGGATTCACCAGCAGATGCCTGAAGGAGGAACAGCATCATGAGTTCAGCTGCGATGAGCAAACACAAACCGCTCTGAAACGGAGCATAGAAGCGTCTCTGCTACCGGAAGTACAGCAGGTGAACGAACTCCTTCAGGATGCTGTAGAGCTCCTCAGTGTTGATGTTGTACTGGACGACTCGAACCGCCTGTGAGAGCGAGAGACGCTCATTTAATAGAGCTTCAGTTTAATGTTGTAACTATATCTGTGGCCCTGGAGCACAAAAGCAGTGTTAAGTTGCTGGGGTATATTTGTAGCAATAGCCAACAATACATTGTATGGGTCAAAATTATAGATTTTTCTTTTATGCCAAAAATCATTAGGATATTAAGTAAAGATCATGTTCCATGAAGATATTTTGTAAATTTCCTATCGTAAATATATCAAAACTTAATGTTTGATTAGTAATATGCATTGCTAAGAACTTCATTTGGACAACTTTAAAGATGATTTTCTCAATATTTAGATTTTTTTGCACCCTCAGATTCCAGATTTTCAAATAGTTGTATCTCAGCCAAATATTGTCCTATCCTAACAAACCATACATCAATGGAAAGCTATTTATTCAGCTTCAGACGATGCATAAATCTCAATTTCACAAAAATGACCCTTATGACTGGTTTTGTGCTCCAAATATCCAATATTAAAATAAAGATGCAGGAACTGTCAGTTTAATATGATCATGGTAATTCATTATTACGATTAGAAATAGAGATCATTCTCATAAGAGTTCTCAGACTGACCTCCGGAGATCCGGCGCGTTTAATTTCACTGGGAATGATGAATCTCGGCCCCGTCTCGCCGGCAAAACCACATCTACACATTACACACACAACACAACAAACCAGAGCATCACACATCAACACGAGCGGCACAGCTTACTGACACAACATGCCTAAAGGAAAAATACTTGTGCTTCACAATATGATATTAGGATATTTTATAAAAACAAAAAATATTAATAAAAATGTACATTCATCGCATGACATTTCAGGTCATATATTCGAGCACTTAATACTGTAATATAACAATAATACTTTTATTTTTTTATTTATTAGTAAAACAATCCTTTTTAGGACCATTTTTAAATATATTTTTATATTTAGAATTTTTTATAATATTTTTACTCAGCATACATCAGCATAAAGTCTTTTTAGGACCATTAAGATGTAAATATATTTTAATTTTTTTTAATAATTCATTATAATATGCATAAATCAGTTTAAAACCTTTTTAGGACCATTAAGATTTTATATGTATATGTATATATACACTAGTAAACATTTGAAGTGGATCAAAACCTAAAACCAAAATGCGATGTTTTCTTAGGACAACTTTGATGTGTGTGTATATATATACACCGCACACACACACACATATATATATATATATATATTATGTAAACAAAAACGTATTCTGGATGCGAAATAACAAATAACACAGTGTTTACACGCCATCATGCTCCTTAAACACTCGTAATAAAATATTTATTTAGTGCCACTAATTTAATGATGAACTGATGAATCAGGACGCATAAATCAGGTCTTATAAGTTGTCATTTGACTAAAACATATTTTATATCCCGACTTTATTATTTCTATTTTAGCCTCGAGCTAACAGCTCCGTTGCCGCTCACTTACTTTGTGTAGGCCGCTCCTAAATCAATGACTACGGCTGTCTTCTCCCCTCCACTGCCCAGGCCTTCAAACAAGGGCATTTTTTATCGATAGGAATGAATAAAAGTATCAGAAAACAGAATTATTATTATTATTATTAGTGTGTAAACACAGCGCTGACACTCATAGCATCAGAGGGAAGGGCGGGGTCCTTCGCAATGGCTGCCCCGCGTCTGCCTGACTGAAAATCATTTCGGCAACGGTAAATAATATTTAATTAATCCAACACAGCGAACAAACAAACATCTTCTACGCGTTTATATAATCAGACTGCTGTGTTTGTTTCTGTGTGACGCTGAACCCGGATCAGCTTTAGGAGTCAAAGCCGCCTGTCTGAGGTTCACGTATTCATATGACAATCACTCGTTTTAAAACTCTAGCAAATGTATTTAGACATCCTAATTTAATTAATTTAATTTAATTTTCATTATTTCTTTATTTCTTATTTTCATGTTTTATTTATAAAGAGCTTTATCATAAACAAGCACA